TGTACAATACATATTCTATTTTAATAGTGTTTTGTGTACATAAACTTATTTTCCTTGTTTTGTATTTTTGAAAATAAATTTTAAATGGGAAAAATAATAGTTTGTATTAATGACTGACAGGATACTCCATCAGCACAATTTCTATGCAAGGTCTGAATACATTAAAACCTCAACATCAAAACGGGACTGTTCAAGTTTGTATCTCCTGAATGTGGAGGTATCTTCCCTTCTAGACGGCCTTTTAACAACAATACACGTGTGTGCCTCTTAGTTTCTGCATTGGTGCCTACGGTTTTATTTCACTGTAGCTTCATTATCTCAGTTTTTTGCCATTTTTGTATTAATTATATAAAAGTATGAGTGTTGCAGAGAATTAGAACATTGTCTTTGGCATGGACATATTTAGATTTATATTCAACATGATCAGTAATACAAATAGTGCATTTCTAGTGATGAGTAGCTGCACAGCAGTGTGTTTTCCTGTGTTTAGAAATTGGGTTTAGTATTAATATTATGACAGAGGTTTTGTCATGGAGTTCTGAGATTTTCATAGCTGAATCTCAGCAGATGTAATTAAACTTAAACACCAGTTAACAGAGAGGAATTATGCAAAATGTGAAGTAAATGCTAATGTGGAACACCGTTAGCTCCAAGTTAAAAGCAGAGACACTTCTACCAGCAGTTGCAATCCTGAGTCGGTGTGACTGTGCCAGTTGTATGCAGCTGTCCACCTTTGCCTTTTCATGTTTGGGGTCTTTGTCCTGTTGCAGTCGGTCTGTTTTTCTTTTAGGTTCTGGGATTTTTCTGAAAAGAGCCTTTTGAGTCTGCTGTAGAGTACAATCTCCACATCATAATGCTGCCACAGGCTTAATACAGGACATTCGTAGGTCTCTCTCTCTCTGGCCTCTGCTCACTAACGTTCTTCTATTGCAAATGCACAGGCAGCAGGTTTACAGCTGTGCCCCGTTCTTTGCATTTTTACAATGTCCTTTAATTACAGTCTGAGCAATCTTCAGTACCTTGGAATTTGTCTTGTATCCCACCGTTGAAAGGTAGTTTTCAGTAAGCGTCCCAGATTAGTTTGCAACATGTACGTGACCCTTTCACATGCAGGTGTGTTACTTGTCACACTGTGATTATTGGATCTAGAAACTTCCAGTGATGACTCTGGTTTAAGCAGAGCAGGAAGCTACCGGCACAGTTTGATATGTGGTTGTGCTCATTTCAGTCACTTTTGTTTTTATTTAGATGTTAACAAGCTTTTTTTTTGTTTCAACAGTGAAAATCAGGATTAATCCTCTGAATCAGTATTGTAAGATAGTACAGTATTTAAATTTTAAAAAATCCACGGAGGGTAAATACTTTAGGTGACAAAACATTTTATCATCTTTGAGTAAAGTTGGAAAGTAGTGTATATAAAAAATGAACATGCCTCAATTTGACACATCTCTTGGTCCTTATTGACCTGCTCAACATAAGTCTGTGGACAGTTGGTATTATTCTTTTTTTTATTAGAGCAGGTCGACTGTTAACATTATTCCATTAACTATTTGGGCAACCTGCACTTAAATACTCAGAGGGTATAAAGGAATGACTTTTTAATGCTAAGGGAAATGTCTGTGATTTATCATTTTATTTACATAATGTTAAGAGAAACTTGTGAGACAGAGTAAAAATGTCTTGATTCTTGGGACAATCTCAAAAACACTGAAATACAAGTCAGTAGCATCTTTTACTAGACGCTCCGCTTCTGCAGTTTGCATTTCTGAGCCCAACTGGAAATAACCCTCAACAGTTTTTTTTTTTTTTTTTTACTTTAGAGAGGCCCTCCTACAGTCACAGAGGAGGCACTGACCTCCCCATGATGAATACTCTCAGCTTCATGTGGAAAGACATTACAGAATGTAAAAGCATCTTAGTCAACTGGCATTTCACCTTGTTTATGTGACTCACTGACTATAGTGATGAACATTTTAGAAGCTTTCAGAGAAAACTATTTGGATGAAGGTTTAATAAGCATTGCTGCACACTGACTATAGTGATGATGTACATTTTAGAGAAAACAATCTGGATGAAGGTTTAATAAGCATTGCTGCTTGTGTCTCAAGGCTTCATCTATAACACCATGTGTATCCATCCAGACCCACAACCTCTGTCTTTGCAGAGTTTCGCTGCACAGTGATTGTAGTAGCAGTTCTCCCAGCTCGCCACTAGGTGGCAGATTCGGTGCTTTTCAGACGTCAGGGCCAGGAGCCAAGCTTTGATGTGTGTGATCTTGTCCAGAGTGAAAGGAAAGACTCTGATAACCTGACACTGGCTGATAATATATACAAGCCTTATATCTTATTCTGTCTCTGCTCTTTCTAAGTAGACTGTGCTGCAGCAGTCAAAACATTTCAACAACACTTCATGAAGTTGCACTTAAAGCTTCTTCAGTGTCCTACTGACACTTAACTCCTAAGTACAACAAAACAACTGTAAATGTACTTAATGAATTTTTAACTTTTGGATAACATTGTGTCAGTTTGTTTTTTATACAAGTATCAATGCTTATTGTTTGTCTTCCTGTTCAAAGGCTAGAAATGAACTTTTGACTTGACATGGAAAAAGACCTTATTTTAATCAAGGGCAGAACAATTTTCTATTTTAGTATTGAAGTCAGTAACCTGGAATAAGGCAGCTACAAAGTAAAGTGTTACCAGATCTTCTCATGACTGAAGGAGAGATGCTATAAACAAAAAGGAGATTGGCATTTTTAAAGTCTGTTTTTTTCCAAAACTGGTTCTGCTTTGTTAGGAAGAAAAGATTGAATTATCTTCTCAATGACTAATAATATTATGATGTAGATGTTGGCATGAACCTTTGGTTGATCCAGGTCAGCGCCCTGTGGCCATGTTTCTTATGGAAGAATAACATGAGCATGCAGACAAGCTGCACACCAGCCAGCAGCAGATGCAGCCACATAGACACATAGAAGTGTGTTATGTGTCCCCCCCCCAAACACGTTTATAAAGCCTGAGCATGTCCCTCCAGGGCTCTCTTCTGTTGAGGAAAACGATAATCCCCTAAAGTGTGTGACCTTCAGGCCAAACTGAAGGTTTTCAGGTTGGACCACTCAGATTGTAACTCATCTCTTTCCACCTCTGGGCTTTAATATAGTTATTTTTTCTCATTATAATGCACAGAAGCATTTGCATCTGAATGTAGCCCCCAATAAATGGCTGGTGTTGTAAAGCCACTGGCTGCCTGTGTGTAATTCACCGATGTCATTGTGAGAAGCACCATTAGGAATATAGCTGTGGAAATGTAAAAGATATTCATACAGTGACGATATGCAATGTAGCTTTCAATAATAATAATAATAAAAAATAAGATGACCCTTAAAAATGGGAAAATTATAGGAATACTGTTGAAATCAAAGTGTGATGATACACAAGAATGTTAGGCCTGTATGAAGTGTTAAACAGAGCGGAACTCTTCCAGCCTAAGTAAGTGGCTCCGGTCAGATCAGGAGGTTTATCCAGGCTGAGGACTTGATCAGTGGACCCGTTTGTCCACTGCCTTCTATTAAACCCTCCGTCCACTATGTTGTTCCTCCTGCCAGTCCAGAGTGGCTCCTTCATAAAAGGCCTATTTGACTTTTCAACCTCCACGATTCCAGCCGATTACATCTATTATGACCTCCAGCCTGCTCCGTTTCACCCCAAAATGAAAAACAAATTGCCCCTAATGTGCCCTTTAGTTTGCTTTGTCTCAAATTTATTTGAGTCAGTGACAGTGGGACTTTTTCATTTAGTTTTGTTAGAGAAACGTGTCAAGTAAATAATTTCTATCTGCCTTACAAATGTTGAGAGATTCCACGGACATTTTTGAAATAGTTTTTAAAAATAATTTGAATTTTTAGAGGCTGAAGGAAGTGAATTACTGTGAATTAACCGCAGCAGTTAATTAAAGTTCAACAGTCCCAAAGGAATCTAAAGGAGTGAAATAAGATCAGTGTGAGCAGCAGGACACTGACGTGATGAGATGAACTGTGTGCCACAAAGAGCAATATAAGAAGTGTCTCCGTTGTTTTAGGACAAATAACGTTATATCAGAATAAAACACCGCCTTTTCCTTCCTAACACACACACACACACACACACACACACACACACACACGCCAAACTCTGGACCCAGCTACAAAACCCTTGCAAATGGTCAGCCAGCAGCAGCACGTCGCATTTCCACAGCCTCCCATTGAGGTTTATTCATTAGACTCCTCACCCTAACCCATTAGCTATTCATGGGAAACTCTCTCTCTCTCTCCCCCCGTCTCCAAACAAACCCGAGTTAAGAGTGGCAGATGCGTGCCATTATTGTCCACCGCCCGGTGGAAGCTGTTTTATGTAAGGCAAAGGCGGGTTAACCCAATCAATCATGTCGACTAGTTGTGTTAAAGAGGAATCATAGGTGGAAGAAGGAGAAACCATATGGCGCAGGGGTGGAGGCAAGCTTTTCTTAACACCGCGGCCAGACCGGGACCTTCTTGTGGCAAGATGTATTCAAAGCCGCGCGTAAGGATGAGAATAAAGGCCGTGCACGGCTGCTAATTGAAGTCGTGGCACTTCAAGTCTGAAAGCACAGCTCATTTATTTAAAAGAGCCGTGCAATTTTGCCAAGCAGGGCAGGTTTTGGGTTGAATATAATCTCTCAGGAGAAATCTTTGGGTTTTTAAATAAGAGTGTAATCGCGACTTAATATTAGATGATCTTTATAAAGTGCCTGTTGTGCTCACTATCCATGTTACAGGTCGCCTTATTAAGCCCTGGGGATTTAATAGCACATGTGGTTCTTCGTTGCATGTTCTGTGACTTTAAAACCCACTTTTAAATCAGCTGTGTGCTGACCTGTTCATGTGACACACGTCTGTCTTCCTTCAGATTTTTTTTTTTTTTTAAATTAATATATTAAATTTTATGTTAAGCACAATGACACATCCAATCGCGCCGGAAGCTTTTTGAAATATCATATAACCTTTATTTACATAGATGCTGATTAAATAGACTGTTACAATAAAATTATCGCATAGGATGTTTGATCTATGTACAGAAGTCAGCGTGTGAAAGTTTGCAGTCGGTCATGACGGTGACGCGTCCTCTGCGCTGCACACAGGCCTGCAGACACTTCGCTCTGGGCAAAAAATAATTAGGCTATTTTCCACGGAAGGTGGGATGGACTGACACACCGCCACCGCTTGTGCACACTAAATAAAAAAAGGGGGTGGAGGGGGTTAATTTAAATATTTGACAAATCCCTAAAATGCGAATAAATGTCAGACTAAAATAATTGCACAACTCTCCCCACCCTTTGAAATAACCGTGAAGTATTAAAATGTTTACACAATTGTCAGTCTTCCTGTAGCACAACAATTTAAAATGTGTCAGAAAGGAAACCAGATATTGTGATGAAACTTAAACTACAGGTTTCTAAGGCTTTACAGGTCCGGTTAATAAATTAAAATTGACAAGAAAAAATAGCAGAAGGAGGAGAAAAAAACTTTCCTGAAATGTTTATATGTGTATATATTCTCCGTTTTTGTCCATATCCGTGCAAAAGTGTGGATAGAAAAATGCCCCCTTTTAACACTTTGTTTGATGCTTATGAAAATCACAGGCTCCTTGACTGTTAATCGTCCACCTCGATTTCCTCGTCGTCCTCCGAGAATTCATCCGTGGTTTGGTCTCTGGATGACAAGGGGGACTGTGGGAAGGCCCGGTGTCCTTGGGAGGTAGGGGAGATACTGGGCGATCTGGCCTCAGGGCCCCCACCCTGTGGATCCTCAATGTTGTCCATGCTGACGAGCTTCTGCAGCGTCTGTGGGGTGATTTTCTTTAGCGACTCCACGTCCGCTTTCATCTCCTCCAGGTCCCTCTTGAGTTTGGCCCTGCGGTTCTGGAACCAGGTGATGACCTGCGCGTTGGAGAGCCCCAGCTGCTGCGCGATCTGGTCGCGGTCGGCCGGAGAAAGGTACTTCTGATACAAAAATCTCTTCTCCAGTTCGTATATCTGGTGGTTCGTGAAGGCTGTCCGCGACTTTCTCCTCTTTTTCGACGTCTGTCTCTGTCCGAAAGCGTTTAGATGCTCACGACCTTGGAGGAAACAAACAACAGGAATGAAGGAGCCCCAAGGGTCATTTGCAGCAACAGAGGGCACAGCAAAATAGGTCTGTCCTCAGTGTACAGCCTCTAGTTTGTCTTGTTTCTCTAAAGCTGAATATTAGATCTATTTTACTTGATTTCAACATTAACGACATTTATGTTCAGAAATGTGCGGAAACAAGAGCTCTTACCGGAAACAGCTGAGCGAACAGTGTTACCAAAAATCTGGACTGAAAATTAGTGAACGAATTAATTCCACTGTCAAAGTGTCCACGGATTTTGCAGCGAACTAAAAATTAACCAAATGTTGTAATTGCTAGGTTATTCACTGTTGCATTAGATTAGGCCTAAAAACGTGCACATTTCTCTGTCAGTCTGCCCATTTTCATTCAGCGTGCCGCTGCGCAGCAGTGGCTGATTTTGACAGCATATAATCTGGCACATAGCAGCCAGTATAAAACCAGTTTGAGCAGTCTGTAAGTCATATGCATGTAGGTATATTCCAGTGCATACATTTGACATTTTCCTCTATCTTGTTTTTCCACATATTCCTAGAACATGTCCACCATAAGAGTTAAAGAAAGAAAAAGAACCAATCGAGCTATAATGATCACAACTGTTCCAGGCTCTGGTTATTGTGCTTACACCTACTTCCCTTCAAATAGTTTAAAGTCACGTTTGTCCGTTTGGAAATTACTGTATGTCATAAAAACGACAAAACGTCAGGCCTTACCTTCTGCTGCCTGGATAACACTGACTTCCAGACCCTTAAACGTTTTGCTGGCCAGCTCCTCCAGCGCACACAGCGGCGAGGAAGGAGTGGTGATCCCGTTCCGCGCCGAGTTAGAGCCCGTCACTTTCTCCAGCACTCTCGGCGGACAGATACTGGCGACGGACTTCTTTACCGAGGGTTTGTTAAGGATATCCTCAATGCTGAACGGCGTTAAGGGTTTGTTGGAGTTGGCCGGTGGCGGCAGCTGGTCCAAGGGAGCCCGCCTCCTCTCCTCGCCGTTGGACTGCAACACAGAACCTGCCTTCATGTCTTTACTGGAGGTCATCGCAGTCCCGAAGAATCGTGGCTTCCAGAATAGTTGATTATTTCATTCAAATTGCAGTTTTAAGCGTCCACAAGTGTTTCCTCTGGTGCTCGGCGTTCTCGAAGAACCCCACTGTGTTCTGAAACTTAAAGTTGGACGCTGCAACTTAGCTCGCCTGAGAGCTTTCCTCCGAAATAACCATGCTTCGGGCGTAGTTGCAAACGCGGCCGGACTGTATTCCCCTCAGAGCGTCGGGGTTCCTCTGCCAAGCTCTATAAAGAGCTTTCG